AAGATAACCACAAAGTAGGCTCATAGTGGCACGCACATATGTGTGTGTGATTGCTGAGAAGTCTGTTTTTGCACATTTATCACAGTTAATACAAACAATCCAGAACACAGTGAAAGTTTTCATTTCTCTTTTCAAGCAGTTTATTCTCATCAGTGTTATTCTCTGTTATTTGTGTCCAGAACCTCAAATTGCTCCAGATCAATAATCCAGAATAGTTAAACTATAGTTGATCATAAATATTGATTCAGGCTTTTTGGTACTGATAGTATTCAATCGTATACTCCAGCGGTCCCCAACCTTTTTTTGCGCCACGGATCGGTTTATGCCCGACAATATTCTCATGGACCGGCCTTTAAGGTGTCGCGGATAAATACAACAAAATCAAACTAGTACGATAAAAACGATAACAAAATAACGCTGAAAACCGATAAAAACCCTGAAAACCAAACATTTCATATCTGAGCCTCAACTCTCGCGGCCCGGTACCAAACGACTCACGGACCGGTACCGGTCCGAGGCCCGGGGGTTGGGGACCGCTGGTATACACGCTGAATATCCAAATGTCACAACTATTACTAATTAAACTGTGATGTGACCTCATTTACTCATCATATACTTAAAGTACTGTGCAAAAGTCTTGAGTCAGTCACTTCTTTATCGTTTGCTTACACAGAACCTGAGTGTGCAGATGTTTAGACACTGGCCACGTTCTCACTCGTGTCCTGATCTTGTACCTGATGGTACGAGTGAACCGGTGTCATGTACGTATAACACACAACTGTGAAATGATGTCTTCAGGCTCATTGTTACCAGCAGCCTGTCATAAACGCACATCAGTTGTTTCCATTTCTTTAGTTCAATCAATGGATGCCAAAGATTTCACATTTTGACATAAACATTTTTGGGGGGTGAAAAGCCGGACGAGTCTCGTCATGGTGTGCAGTGTGTCGGGATGATGGTCACGGTCATCCTGATGCTGCAGGATCAGGTCAGTATGCAGAGAGGTCGGGAGAGACACGGTAGAGGCTCTGTATTATTTGGGCTGTGGTCCGTGGTGTTGGAGGTCTTTATGCAACTACGAACTCGGAAAAAGAACCATCGGATTTTCATCCACCATGTCGTACCACCTGGAAACCGTCTGTCCGCTAACGGCTTCATTTTTCAGCACAGTGATGATTCAAACACAGGGCCAATACAGTAAACCATTCCTTCATGGAAAAACACACAATCTGATCAGTCATTGGTCAGTTTGAGATCATCCCGACAGAGAGAAGAACAAAAGGCAGAAAGAAAAGCTTTGAATGTCCTTCAGGACGTCTGGAGAACGGTTCCTGAAGTCCCTCACAGACGTTACAGAAGCTGGCACAGAGAGGTCAAGCTGGAACTGGACAAACTCCCCAAAAAACACAAGGAAATTTGGATAATTCAAGACTTTTGCACAGTATTTCATGTGATTTAATTCAGCGTGTTTAATGTGCAGTCGACTGTTTTACATCTGGGGGTTGGGGACGTCTGGAGATATCGTGCCTTTGTCAGGCAGACAAGATGTCTGGAGCTGTTTACAGCTGTGGAGCAACAGATAAACACATCATCACCTCAGCGATCGCTGTGAGAGAGTTTGAGGGATAGGAGGGAGTTATCAAAACAGCATGCTGGTCTTTTTCACACCCACAGACTCCCCGTGTTAATAAAGGAGGCGGATAAACCTGACTTCTTTCCCACAACAGGTTTGCATCTTTGCTTCGTATAGAAGTATTTCCAACAAATAGTTTTGGGTTTTTTGAAGAAACTTGACTCATTAGGGATGGAAGTGTCCTGTGGTGGACACTGGGATGTTGGTAGAGACCGCTGCCTCTGGGGAGCGTCGTCGCTACGAGGAACTGTCCTGATATGCAAAATGGTTTTGGTGAGACACGAGTGTTTAGATGCTAGATAATGTTTTTTATTGTGTGTGAGTGTGTGTGAGAGGAAAAGGCAACAAACCCGCTGCAGTTCAGATTTTAACGTTGATCTGGATCTAAAGCTTGATATTTTGCACGGTGCAGGATGTTTTGCTGTTTGTTTGCTATAATAAGAAATCGCTGTCTGTGATTGGGTAACCTGATGGGCCAACGTTTACGAGAGGAGACACATAATCAGGGTCAGACGGCTCCACCGGCAGACCTGGCATTAATAAAGGAAGCATATCTCAGAGTTTTATAATTAAACAACAATCATCGTTGGCCTATCATCTGCCCCCGCTTCTCGGGGTGCGTGTCGACCCCTCGGTTCTCCCTGAGGTCCTCATTAACATGTGGAAACCGCTGCCTGCTTATCTTCAATCTGCAGTCATTCCTGTCTTTCAGTGAGCCTGACGGAGGGTAAAAAAATATGCTGCCTGATGGATGACGCTGTGCTCTGTTTACAGTGTTGCAACACAGAACAACCAAATATGGTCTGTTTTTACAGCACACAGCCTGCAGTTTGGAATAACAGCCCAACATGAACCCATACATGGCTGCAGGATGGGTGCCTCTCCCCTCCTAAAAATGCTCTTAGAGCACAAAATCACAGCAAAAGCAAAAACGAATCATTTGTTAGCTAATTTGTGATGCGCATCTTTTCCTGTTGCAGAGAATTTAAACTGAAATGACGGATATGGTTGTTTAAGTTTTATAGTCCACTGTTCTGGCAGATCACATGACTTCCTGGTGCTGGGAAACAACTTCTCAGGATGTTTCTAATCACACATGTTTCTCTCCTGATGAGGGGCATCTGTTGAGAGGAAATGTTGTAAAGAACATTTTTCCCCTCCCGCTCTCTGCCCCGGCTCGTCCTTCCTCTGTCCAGATGGAGTTTGCTTCTTTGTGGAGTCTGCAGGGTTCAAAATGTCTTTGCTTCTGCAGACTGTCGGCTTAATTATTACCACAGTTTGTCAAATTTTCAGAAACCTGGTTTCTTTTCTTTCTTTTGTTGTTTTTTTTAGAATGAAACTGTGATTCGGAGTATTTAGCCTCCTCCGGCCTCCCCCAAGGCTCTGCTGTGGTTCCTGTTTTTAATACTAATACTCAGAAATACCAGTGAAGGCATGAGATGTTTAGAGTGATTCAATGATGAGTATTTCACAAACACCTTGTTTCCTGTGTCTGCTGTATGTCGACGACGCTGAGTAATGTCTTTAGCTTGTAAGCAGGGCTGAAGGCATCAGAATCTATTAAACGTTTCCAAATGATGCTTCATGGCCAACATGCTAACTACATATCTGGTTACTGCTCAGCAGAATAAATGACCCTGAAACTGGCTCGTTTCACCTGTTTGAAGTCTCAACATGCGTCTGCAGCAGATGAACACCTGCCCTCTTCTGCTTTACCTTGCCAGGTGTTTCTGTGTGTGGTTTAACTTCCTCCACCTGTCTTTTTCCTGTCTGCAGGTGCTCAGTGTTTCGACGTTGGCAACATCGTCATGTGTCGCTGTCAGCCAGGCTTCGCCGGCTCTCGCTGCGAGACCAACATCGACGACTGTGCCAGCAACCCCTGCAGGAACGGCGGCACCTGCTTCGACAGAATCAACAACTACAGCTGCACGTGCACCCTCGGCTTCTCCGGCAAGGACTGCACGGTGCGCGCCAGCCTCTGCGACCAGTTCCCGTGCGAAAACGGCGGCACGTGTTTCACCCACTTCACCGGCCCCGTGTGCCAGTGCCCGCGAAACTTCATGGGCACGCGCTGCGAGCACTCTCTCAAGCCAACTGTGAAACCGGCCGCGACTGGAGACCCTCCAGCGGCCATGATTGCCGCTATCGCTCTGGGAATAGTGACATTTTCCCTGCTGGTGTGCGCCGCCATCTTCGTTCTGCGCCACCTGTACCGGGGCAGGGAGCTGAGAGCCCTTTCCACGTCAGTAAAAAACGACCTGGAGACGGTGAACAACCGCAACGCAGTGATTGGCGGAGGGGCGCCCAAGAACGGGAGCTTACCGGGAGCGACTCTGGGCAGCCTAAAGGAGAAAGAGGCCTTTCTCCTCCCGGGAGCTCATCTTAAAATGTCCAATAAGGATGTAGCGCTGGTGGACAAGGGCAGCGACAACGTGGCCATGTTTAAAAACAAAATGGCAGACTACAACCTGGCGAAGGAGGAGCAGCACCTGGACAAGAACAAGTTTGACCTGTAAGGACCTGATGGTTTGATCGTTATCTCTGTTTCTGTTTGTGCTTCATTTCTGTGAGTTTAATTCAGACAAGTCACAGCTTGTTGTGTCTTAACTGATCAGTCCATGGCGGGGGGGCGGTCTTCACTGAGTCTTGCTGTCAAAATTTTTGTTTGCTGTTGGACCAACCTTCCCTCTCTCTCTGTCTGTCTGTATGTCTGTCTGTCTCGCTCTTGTTTCCTCTAACAGTAAGAAATGCGAGCCGTCCGTCATCGTCCCTCCTCTCAGTTTTGCAAAGGACAGTCTGTATCACTCAGTGTTCATCATCCCAGACCAGCTGGAACAGTGTGTGTTTGCTACTGAGGTGAGCAACACAACCACACGAGTGTTTATCTCTCTCTTGTTGACTTGGGTCGATCACATTACAAGGATTCATTTTGTTAATGGAAGAGAGGCAGCAAAACGCAGAATGGGAGGCTGAGGAAGGTTCAAAGTTCAAAGTCATCTTTAAACATCTGACACTGAATTCACATTGAGCTTTTGGTTTTTCTCTGCAAGCTCGACGAAGCAAAATTTAACTGTTGGTTCGACGTGTCTTTGCTACGGAGCCCCACAGGGGACATGGGAGAAAAAAAAATTAAGACGGACTTTTGTGAGATCTCGCAAAACTATCTCGGGATCTCGCAAAACTAACTCGGGATCTCGCAAAAGTTGAATTCCAACAATGGCGGCAGCTACTTAGTTGTAATATTACTCTTTCTGGGTCACAAAATACACTTTTAAGATATTTTGAGGCGTGAATGTAGTTGTGTAAACGTCAGATACCTGCTCGGTTTACAAGACATATTTGCAAAAGTGCTCCGACGTTTTCGGAGATCTGACACCCACTAGCTCGAAGCTAACGGGAGATCGAGACCTACTACAGCCGGGACGAACACCGCTTTCCCGGCACATCGTGCCTCGACCTCCTGGTCGGCTTCGAGCTGGCGGCCTCCGAAGAATATGGCTAAAACTTTCCCGAGTTTGTTTTGCGAGATCTCGCAAAAGTCCGTCTTAATTTTTTTTTTCTCCCATGTCCCC